GTTATGTGGAAACTAATTTGACAATAAACTATTTGTAAAAAAAAAAAAAAAAGAAAAGAAAGAAAAGAAACTATAGAGAACAAACTAATGGTTACCAGAGGGGAGGTAGGTGAGGAGATGGGTGAAATAGGTGATGGGGATTAATGAGTGCATTTGTCATGATGAGCAGAAGGTGATGTATGAAAGTCTTGAATCTCTATATTGTATATCCGAAATTAATATAACAGTATATGTTAACTATAATAGAATTAAACAGAAAAACTTAATTTAAAACAACATTCACTTTTGTGGATGAGCACTGGGTATTATATGGAAACCAATTTGACAATAAACTATTTATAAAAAAAATTCACTTTGCCAGCAATTGTACGTCAGGAGCTTTATCATCAATTAACAATAATGAAACACATTTTTATCTGTGAAGATATTCAACATAGCATTGATTACGATAACAAAGAATAGGAAGCAACCTGTATGCCCAACAAAAGTAAAACAGTGATATATTCACACTTTGTAGGTATAAATATATTCTATTTTGAAAGAATAGCTAATGGCCTGATAAGATGTTCACAATATATGTTGAAAAATGAAAGGTAAGACACAATGAGATTAAAATTTTTGTTAACAAATATATATGTATCTTTAAAGGAAGAAAAAATGTAAGAAAACATACCAAATTTTGATTGGTGGTTATTTCTGGGTAACAAAATTATGAGATACTTTTATATCTTATTCTTTTACTTTTATATTTCCTTCCTTTTACTTTTATATTTTGCTTTTATATATTTTATATATATTTATATAGTCAGAAACAAATAGTAATTTTTAAAAACTAAAGTGGAAAGTCAACATTTTGCACTGTGTATCACAGGCAGCCACCTTTTGTGAAAGAAATTTTGAAATGAGGTAGATAAAAGTCAATTTAATACATTTGCAACTTCAAAATAACAATTTTATACAAATATGGGCTGAACAATTACATGACCATTTAATGAGCAAACTACTCTGATTTCTGAGCAGCAAGGACCTGACAAGAAGAATAATCAGAAGTGGAACCAGATAGAAATAAGATATGGCTCTTGAACATTACTAACCAGAGAGACATTTTTTTCTCCATCTAAGAAGGTGGATGCCATTCTTAAGGCCACTAGCTAAAGAGGTTTTGGAAGAAAAGACTGGCACTCTTGCACCCATCTTTCTGAGGCCCCCAAGCTGCTAAATATTATCCTAGCTTTCACCACTGTAACTCTGCACACAAGGTGCATATATCAGAAAGTTCAGTACACACTAGCTGAACCCACTCTAGCTGAACCTTGGGCTCTATGCAGGATCTGGGTGACTGCACACCAACCTTTAAGTCAAACAGATATCCTGAATATTATTTCAATGTTACACTGGAAAAAATATCAGACCAGGGTGTATTGTTGCCCTACAAGTCCTCTAATCTTTTATGATATTAATGCCAGACCTCTCAAGCCTACTTGTAAGGCCAACCAGTGTTGCTAAATGGCCATGAAAGCCCCTACTGTTGAGTCCATCCATAGTTGTCAGCAGATAGAGGGCCAGTGTAACACATATTTGGCTCACCAAGAAGAGGAGACCAGGGACATTTGAATGGAAACCTTGTTTAAGTGATAGGATTATTCCTTTTACGCTTAGCAGAGGCAGATGAACTCTAAACAGGAAGACAGTGATCAAGTGCTAAGTTTCAGATCCCGTCTCTTAGTACTGGGGGCAACAATGTGCCAGAGTCCTGCTGAGAGAGGCACGTTCAGTGTCTCCACAGCTCAGTGTCCAGCCTCATCCCTCCATCCCATGCTCAAGTCTTCCAGGAGTGTTGATTAACTAATTTTAGTGTCTCAGAAAAATTGTCAAGAATTACTAGTCACTGATAAACAGAAATGGCCAGTATAATAAGTCTGCCAAAAGCAGTGTTATATGTAGAGATTGGTGTTGGTTCTTACCTAGGTATGACTGTGAAGTTTTATCCCCAGGCCCAGCTGAGCCAAGTAGTGCCCTTCAGAAGCCCAAGGTCATAGCCTCCATGGGCTGCAGGTCACTCCGCCTTTTAGGCAGAGCTGCTGTTCCAAATCTTAAGCAGGGCTGGTTCTGAGAACCTTTGCGGCGCATACATGAGCTATGAGTTTACAGTCCAAGAACTTCGACAGAAGTCTTGTTCAATTCCAAATGAGTGTCAGTTTATTTTAGCAGCACCATTTTACAGAAGCTGTCAATGCCTACTCTGCCCATTCAACTACTTCCAAAGTGCAGTGATGCCATATGAAAACAGGCAGGCAGGGAGTCAGGACTCCAGCATGGGCCTTGCTCCTTTGGAACAGCTTTTCCTTTGCAGGAGCAAACATTGACTGCTCTTCCTCACGTGGCTTCATCTCTGTGTCGCCCTCTTGATATGTGCCCACACATGAATGCATGTTATCAGGCTGCCCTTGTCTGCAGATATTCCTGGGTCCTTTCAAGTACAAGCTTTTTCACTGGGCAATCTAGTATGGGGTCTTCAGATTCTCATTTTGCACCCTAGTCATTGATCATCAAGGCACAAATCCCCACTGGAATTTTCAAGAGATCAACAACATAAAATACCCAGGAATCCCACAATCACTTCTGACCCCTAGAGTCAATCTGAATTATTCAGAATATCTGAATCATGTTCTGTGTTATGAAGCTAATCCCAGCAATAAATTTTCAACGTGTATTTTCTTTTGGCTAAGCTCACCTACACAAACCTCTCTCTAATTGTTAAAAACAATTAACAACTGTGTGCTTAAAAGTACACATTGCTATTTTTTTAATTAAGTAAGCTTATGGATTAAATAAACAGAAATTTAAAATGAGTTTTAAGCACCTGAAAAATTCCATGAAAGAGAATCCATATCCATGCTGCTCAGCAATTCCTGCACAAACAACATTTGCCGATGCTCCAATCAGTGTCCCATTACCTGGAATCAAAAATTTTAAAGTAAAATAAAATTTCAGTTTATTTTAGTAGTAGCCTTCTTTTATCTTTTGTTCTGTAATATTCAAATCATCTCACAGGCTTTTGATTTGATTACTTTATAGGTACTATCAAAGTAATTGTTTTACAAATATCTGCAACAAACAAAACACTGACAACCAGAAAATAAGTTCACTGCTTATAAATACTGAAATTCATTTACAGATAGGACTATGACTGTTCTTTTTTTAAAATTTTTATGTTTTATTTATTTTTGAGAGAGAAGGAGAGACAGCATGAGCAGGGGAGGGTCAGAGAGAGAGGGAGACACAGAGTACGAAACAGGCTCCAGGTTCTGAGCTGGCTGTCAGCACAGAGCCCGATGCGGGGCTCGAACCCACAAACCATGAGATCATGACCTGAGCTGAAGTCGGACACTTAACCGACTGAGCCACCCAGGCGCCCCAGGACTATGACTGTTCTATGTGATAGAAAAGAGGAAATGCTAAGGAGAATTGACAAATCACTGTGGGATATGGTAGCATTTATCGCTTAGAGGAAAATGTAAGGCAGGCTAACAACTGTAGGAGAGAACAGGTGTCTTCAGAGCAGTAGAATGGGATTTCAGATAAGAACCACCTTCTTTAGGACTCCAGGCCCAGACACCCACCAGAAAATCCTGTCTGTGGATGGAAGAATGGATGCAAACAAGTGGAATAATTAAATGCCTCTCTGGGTGAGCCTTTTTGACACTGTAGAAAATCTGTGTGGAGTCATAACCTACACATGCATACATACCAGTGAGGTCTCATGGAGAGGAATGTGACTCAAGACCATCCCCAACATCATGACTGATTCAGGGAAAGGTTAACTTGTTTGATGAAATTGATCAGTATTGTTTAACCCCTAATCTCAGAGGTCAGGGCTTAAGAATAGGCATATTACCCAGGCTCAGCCAGTTTTTCTCAGTTCTGACATGTGTGCATAAACCACCAAGGAAAAGAGTCTGTTTTCTAAGGACTAGTGAACTGTAAGACACAAATCTGGAGCTGCCTACTTCATGTTGGCACAAGGGAGCAGCCTCTCTGACACTAGACAACATAAGTAAAAGCAGAGCAGGAAGAAGAGGACCAAGGGTGGAGTCCTGGCTACATTAGCTGAACCCCTAAGTGCTGCCTTTTCTGAAAATCCAGCACCATAGTATCTCTACATCTTCCAGAGTGCTGTGTATGGAGAGAAGTACAAAATAAATAACCTTAGAGCAACGTAGCCTTCTGGATTTTTCCACTAAAGGAGGCACACAGCCTGGGGTCCGTTCCCCACGAGAGGCCTTTGCAGATGAGGTGCCAGTTAAAATGACACTCAGCTGAATGCACACTCCTTCCCCTTCCTCCTTGCAGTCCTTAGCCTCTTATTGAAACTCATAGGCAGGCAACAAAACTACCTGTCAGATATGCATCCCGGACTGCCTGTGCAAAGGCTAGTGAACTCAAGCTTCATCTTACTCTCTCTGTTTTTCCTCCATAGACAATTTAGACTGTTTTTTTTTTCAATAAAACCTTTGACATAGCATGTCACATCCATTTATATGCTTGCTCAAAAGATAAAGACTTTAGATCTTAACAACTCAATAGGGCCATAGGCAAGATGGTGGAGAAGTAGGGAGCTCCATACATTTTGCTTGCCCGCATCTCTCAAACAGAGAAGGCCTGAAGCCATAGGACACTGAATTGCAGGAGTCTGGGAGGAAAAGAGACAGAATTCACTAAGAAGACAGCCTCATAGGTGCAGTGATTGCCAATCGGGGAAGATAAAAATTGGCTGGGACCAGAGCCTCTCCATGGAGAGCCGTGGAGAGACTATGGGAAGAGAAAGAACAGCTGAAATTGCCCATAGAACTGTCCCTGGAGAAGAGAAAAACCTCAGCCCGGGGTGAAGAGGGATCTTATTTCTAGCTGTGGTGCTTTCTTTTGGGTGGGAGCACCAGACCCAGGTGGTGCCAGGAGAAACTGCTCCACTGCTCTCCCAGCTCAATCCCCAGCTGGGAAGTGACCCAGCCTGTGGGATTACATTTCGGGCAGTATCAATAAAGCACCTGAACTAAGATCTGGAAACGAGGTGGAGCTTGGGAGATAGAACATGGCCCACCTTGGCTACTCCCGCAGCACAGGGAGATCAGACTCAAAAGAGTGACTTGCAAATGCTTGGTTCAAGAAGGGACTGGGGCGCCACCATTTTTCTCCCCACAACCACCAAGGTGGGGCCTCAGGAAGTGGCCCTAGGGACCATAGTGGAGGCAAGACCTGCCTACACCAAACCACACCCATCCACAATGGAGTGCTTCTTTTTTTCTTTTTTTTAAACAGGAGTCTGGGAGAGACCAACATGGAGCATTGCCATGATTAACTCTAGATCAATTCTTTCTATTCAGATACATTTTTCTTGTCTCATTCATATCCCTCTCCTCTGCTGGACTGGGTACTCTGGTCATCGGTATGCTTAAACAGTCACATTTAACCCATTCTCTTGATGCCTATTCTCCACCTCCGTCATTACCTTCCTTTCGCATCCTCCTACTCGGAAATAATCAGACTATATTGTTTCTTTGGGTAACATTATCTTCGTTTCTTTCTCCTTGCCTCCTACCATATTCTCCTCTATATTTCTCTGAATTAAGCCTTTTAGTCTCTCTGTCTTGCCATTGTCCAATTTCTATTTCTCCCTACCCAGTCATTTCCTCTTTGTATATGCTCTACCATCAGGACTGCATACAACCTGCTCTTTATTTGTGGCTGAGAAATTTGGTTTTATGCTTTTAGATTGTCTTTTCTCTTATGGTTTTTCTTTCTTTTCTTCTTTTCTCTTTTCTCATATTCACTTTCGGTTTGCTTCTTTTTTCGATTTGTCTGTGTGTTTGCATGCCTATGTTCCCTCTGTGTTTGTCTGTCTGTTTTTCTTTTCAGGGTTACCTCAGAAACAAGCCAAAATACACATGGGGAGAGTCCCAAATGTCACTACGAGTAGAGAAATAAAATAACCAAAGTCTCAACAAGAGAGACCAAGAAACACCATTCAAAGAACACTTCCTGAATGGACAGGCCCTGGAGAGTCAAAGAGCCTTCTTTAATATAGCAGTACTCGCAGGTGCAGAGCGCATAAAGAGCTTTTAAAACTGACAAGAGACAGAAAGCTAGCCAAAATGATGAAACGGAAGAATTCTCCTCTAAAGAAATTCCAGGAAGAAAAATAGCAAAAGAACTGCTCAAAACAGATATAAGCAACATAACTGAACATGAATTTAGAACAATAGTAATAAAATTAATCACTGGGCCTGAAGAAGACATGGAAGTAATCAGAGAAGCTATTGCTACAAAGACTACAGAGCTAAAAATAGTTGTGATGGATTTAAAAATGCTATAAATTAGGTGCATCATGAAATAGAGACATCAAATGCACAGACTGAAGAAGCAGAGAAGAGAATAGGTGAATTAGAAGACAAAATTATAGAAAAAGAGGAAGCCGAGAAAAAGAGAGATAAATTGGTCCAGGAGCATGAAAGGAGACTTTGATAGCTGAGTGATACAATCAAACGGAACAATATCCGTATATTAGGAATTCCATAAGAGGAGGAGAGAGAGAGGCACTGAAGGGGTACTTGAAAAAATTATGGCTGAGAACTTCCCCAATCTAGGGAAGGAAACAGACATTGAAATCCAAGAGTCACAGAAACTGCCCTCACACATAATTTGAGTCAATCATCTGCATGACAATCATAGTGAAACTGGCAAAATATAAGGATAAAGAGAGAATTCTGAAAGCAGCTAGGGATAAAAGGTCCCTAAGATACAAAGGGAATGACAAGCCTGTCATTCAGAATGAAAGGAGAGATAAAAGTGTTCCCAAATAAACAAAAATTGAAAGAACTCATCACTACTAAACTAGGCCTACAAGAAATCCTGAGGAGGACGCTATGAGGGAAACGTTGCAAGCAACGCAAGATACTAGAGACACCACTACAAGCATGAATCCTACAGAGAACACAATGACTCTACATCTACATATTTCAATAATATCACTGAATGTAAATGGACTAAATGATCCAATAAAAAGATATAGGGTAAGAGAATGGATAAAGAAACAAAATCCATCGATTTGCTGTCTACAAGAGACTCATTTTAGACCTGAGGACATCTTCAGATTGAAAGCAAGGGGATGGAGAACTATCTATCATGCTACTAGAAATCAAAAGAAAGCCAGAGTAGCTATACTTATATCAGACAAACTGGACATTAAAATAAAGGTAGTAACAAGGGATGAAGAAGGGCATTATATAATAATTACAGGGTCTGTCCATCAGGAAGAGTTAATAATTACAAATGTCTATGCACCGAATTTGGAAGCACCCAAATACATAAAACAATCAGAAACAGAAACACTCTTATGAATAAGAATGTGCTAATAGCAGTGGACTTTAATACTCCACTTACAGCAATGGATAGATCAACTAGATAGAAAATCGCTAAAGACACAAGAGATTTGAATGAGACATTGGACCAGATGGATTTGACAGATATATATAGAACTCTACATCCTGAGGCCATGAAATTCACTTTCTTCTCAAGTGAGCATGGCACATTCTCCAAGATAGATCACATACTGAGACATAAAGCAGCCCTCAATAAATATAAAAGAACTGAGATCATACCATGCACAGTTTCAGATCACAACGCTATGAAACATGAAATAAACCACAAGAAAAACCTGAAAAATCTCCAATAACATGGAGGTTAAATAACACCCTACTAAAGAACGAATGGGCCAATCGGGCATTTAGAGAAGAAATTTAAAAAATATATGGAAACAAGTGAAAATGAAAATACAACAATCCAAACTCATTGAGATGTGGCAAAGGCAGTCCTAAGAGGAAAGAACATTGCACTCCAGGACTATTTCAAGAAAATAGAAAAGGCGCAAATACAAAACCTAACAATGCATCTAATGAAA